TGAGAGAAATGCTATTATTATCATGACAGAAATGCTATTATTATCATGAGAGAAATGCTATTATTATCATGAGAGAAATGCTATTATTATCCTGAGAGAAATGCTATTATTATCCTGAGAGAAATGCTATTATTATCCTGAGAGAAATGCTATTATTATCCTGACAGAAATGCTATTATTATCATGAGAGAAATGCTATTATTATCATGACAGAAATGCTATTATTATCATGAGAGAAATGCTATTATTATCATGAGAGAAATGCTATTATTATCCTGAGAGAAATGCTATTATTATCCTGAGAGAAATGCTATTATTATCCTGAGAAAAATGCTATTATTATCATGAGAGAAATGCTATTATTATCCTGAGAGAAATGCTATTATTATCATGAGAGAAATGCTATTATTATCATGAGAGAAATGCTATTATTATCATGATAGAAATGCTATTATTATCATGAGAGAAATGCTATTATTATCATGAGAGAAATGCTATTATTATCATGAGAGAAATGCTATTATTATCATGAGAGAAATGCTATTATTATCATGAGAGAAATGCTATTATTATCATGAGAGAAATGCTATTATTATTAGCAAACGATTTAAGTGAAGGTAAAGAATTTTTTAATTTTTTTTTAAAATTTGGTACAAATAAATATCCGTTATGTAATTTGACAATTTCTGTTGTTCAAAAAACCTATATATTTAACAAAGTTGGCACATTGTCTTAGATTGTTTGCCCTGTTGTATAAACCTAATAAAAAAAGTGCACACAATTTCTTTGCTATATGTAAATATTGTACTTTTTAACAGCATGCTGGGTTAAAAATCATTCCTATTGCTGCAACAGGGACACGTCATTTAACAAACAAACAAAATAAAAAAATTATCCACTGTCTGGTTAATTCAAAATTCTAAAGCTCTCAGATCTTCCTGATTATTCAAGATATGCATTTTATTGTCTTCAGCTTAAAAGAAATATGACAATTAGCCTAGCACTCGAAACTAGAAAATTTCAAAATGAAAGATTTAGTCTCTTGAAATAATCTGATAACTTTTATCAACTAATTTGATCACAACCAAATTAAGTAAGCACGGTTGGTGCGTTTGGATTAACCTGCAGTATGTAAAAAAGAATTATTTATACAGTTAAATAGATATTGAATCTGAAAGAAAAAATATTTTTAGTTACAGTATTATTGTTACATACCAAAATTGTGTCATATTTGGGAAATGAGTATGTCCTAACCTCCAAAGGCGTAGCTGAGGGGGGGGGGGCAGGTGGGAAAGATGTCCCTGGGCGCCAGATTAGTTATCATCATCAGTTTTGCTACAGCCCGTGTAGGGCCCTGCCCTGCTCCACCACATCCTTCCATTCGGAACGATCCATAACTTTCCGCCTCCATGCGCAAGAAAAGAAAAAATATTTTTGGTTACAGTATTATTGTTACATACCAAAATTGTGTCATATTTGGGAAATGAGTATGTCCTAACCCCCAAAGGCGTAGCTGAGGGGGGGGGGGCAGGTGGGAAAGATGTCCCTGGGCGCCAGATTAGTTATCATCATCAGTTTTGCTACAGCCCGTGTAGGGCCCTGGCCTGCTCCACCACATCCTTCCATTCGGAACGATCCATAACTTTCCGCCTCCATGCGCAAGCCCCCAACTGGTGTAAATCCTTCTCCACATCGTCGATCCATCTCAGCCTTGGGCGACCGGTGAGTCGTCTGCTCTGGTTTCTGCCTGTATATCATTTTTGCTGCTCCACATTCCGGCGTCCTTTCATTATTTCCTGCCCAACGCAGTCTGCCTTTTTATTGTTTCACCTATGGGTGGATCTTTGTACAATTAATATAGCTCTCGGTTTATACGTATTCTCCAGGTATCACTTTCCATCACTGGGCCGTATATTTCTCTGAGGATTTTCCTCTCCCATTTATTGAGAAAGTTCTCTGCTTTTCTGGTAAGGGTCCAAGTCTCACTAGTGTAAGTTACTACTGATCTTATGATAGTGGTGTATTTTGTCTTATTTGTTCCCCTTGATAGGTTTTTTCCTTCCCACTAGCTTTCGTAGACTGAAATATGAAAGGTTGGCTGCTGTTATCCTTTCTTTCTCCTCCGACAGTATTTAATTGTGCTCTTTTATAGTCGCCTCTCGATTTTTTTTAATGTAGCCACCCTCTCAAATTAGTGGCTATGTATATTGATGTCGTCATCAGCGTGGGGGTTTCGTGACATTATCATATATTTTGTCTTCCGTTCATCAACATCAAGAACAGCTTTGACTGGGGCATTTTCAAGTTCCGTGAATGCTTTTAATTATGTGATTACTGTTGCTACCAAGTAGCGCTATATATCATCTGCATATGGCAGGTACAGCAAGGGTTGGTTATATAATGTTCCAGATGGATGTTGTTCTGTAATACCTCTCTGGGAGCAGCTTGTTATGATTCCACTGGTACTCACGTGTATGCTTCTCATAATTTTTTCCAGCGAGATGTTAAACAGGATACATGATAGTGAGTCTCATTGTCTGAGGCCCCGATTGACTTGGAACTCCCTTGAATCTTCTCATGCACCTTGATTCTACTTTTGGAGTTAGCCATTTTCATATTAACCGAGTAAGCTAGTTAGGGACTCCAAGGTCTTGTAGAGCGTTGTATAAGTAATTCCTGTCTACGCTAAGTCCACGTATAGTTGGTGTATGTCGATATTCGTAACATTTCTCCAGGAGATATATCTTACAGTAATAAATATCTGCGGTGACCTATTCCGCTGGAACCCGCATTGGTAGTCCCCTAAGATCTGTTCACTATACTTTTCCAGTGTTCTTGCTTCAAGTTTTGTGAGGATTTTTACATTACCTTAAGGAGGGAGATGTCTCTGAAGTTTGAGCAGACCAACAAAGATCCTTTTTTGGGGTAAGAATTGGGATTATGATTGCAGTTTCCCATTGCATTTTCATTTCTCACTCCTGCCAGACATGAGGCTAGACTAGTTAGCCAGACATGAGGCTAGACTAGTTAGCCAGACATGAGGCTAGACTAGTTAGCCAGACATGAGGCTAGACTAGTTAGCCAGACATGAGGCTAGACTAGTTAGCCAGACATGAGGCTAGACTAGTTAGCCAGACATGAGGCTAGACTAGTTAGCCAGACATGAGGCTAGACTAGTTAGCCAGACATGAGGCTAGACTAGTTAGCCAGACATGAGGCTAGACTAGTTAGCCAGACATGAGGCTAGACTAGTTAGCCAGACATGAGGCTAGACTAGTTAGCCAGACATGAGGCTAGACTAGTTAGCCAGACATGAGGCTAGACTAGTTAGCCAGACATGAGGCTAGACTAGTTAGCCAGACATGAGGCTAGACTAGTTAACCAGACATGAGGCTAGACTAGTTAGCCAGACATGAGGCTAGATTAGTTAGGGGCACAACAAGGTGCATTGATAATATTTTACTGATGAAAATAATGAGTTAGCGAGTTGAAAAAAGAAAGGGAGGCGCTTCGATATGTATCTTGTCCCCAGGTGCCAAACACTCTCAACTATGTGTCTGCTATCCTCTCCTGTTTTTCTTGATAATGCAATATGGGCATAGCCTTTTCATCCCGTTCAGATGAAATTGAGCTGTACTTCCTTATCAGACGTTTACTAATTTATTCGTTCAGAAATGTATGTCTGTATTGTATAGGCCTGTCTCTTGGTCTATATGAAAATAATCTATGAATTCCATAATCTAGCTAATCAACTCCTTTTTTTTATCCAGTAATAGTTCACACAAAATGGGGCACAACGTTTAGAAGCCCAAAAGAAAAATCTTAGAAATTTCGCTCAACAACTGGAATCTCCAGTTGAAAAATCAAGTTGGCGCAGTCTACAAAACATTGCAGTAGCCGTTTTGTGTCCATTTACAAGGCATCTTCCGCCTTGTTGGCATAAACTGAAGTTGAAAAATGATAAAGGTTAGTGTGCTTCTCATCTTGACCTTTATTGGACAGGTTTCAGTTGGCAGCTCATGTCTTGTGAAAGGAACAGCATGGCCGTGATGATTGGGTTGCCCCATGTCCTAGACACCACTCTGTGATGCTGTGAAATGTTAATGAAATATAATCATTATATAGAGGCAATATGACTTAAATCTTAT